AATCAAGTTATTTTTTTTATTTTTATTTTCATTTTCCTTGTAAATCTTTATTTTACATCTTTAAAGAATCAATAGCTCTAAAAAAAGTAAATTTTTCAACAAAGTTTTTGTATATATTCAGTACAACATTTTTGATAATTTTTCCTGATGTTAAATTTTTATTTATTATGCTTCAGTTTATTATTTAAAGCCAAAAATGTTGTTTTATAGATTATATTCTAAGATACATAGATGTTACTTCAATATTTCTACCTTTACTCATATCTGATTCACTTTTGCATAATGTACAATTAAATTAAATTTTTTATGAGTACGGTCGTAAATCCAAGATTAGCCTACCAGTGGGAAATTAACTATGAAGAATGGTATAGAAAGAACTTGTTACTGGGTTGTAGATTTTACTCACTTGATGGAATAGTAGAGTATGCATTATAAATATTCACCATTAACCACCTTTGCTGCATACTAACTCTATGTATTAAAATGCCTGTAACTAAATAGGTACTTTTCCTTAAGTTATTATCGATCCATAAAAATATTTGTAAAGAAATTAACTAAAAAGTAACTAATTTCAAAAATAAAAAATGTTTATCTTTTTTTTTAAAAAATTGTTCTCCAGTATTTTGTTACTTTGAAATTACCATGTATTTTGTTTATACTAAGGGAAACCAAACCCAGTCCATCCCTCAGCGTAGTGAGCAGTTTCTCATAAGATCATTTTATTAAATAGTTTTTCGATAGTCTTCATTATTTGACGTTTAGAGTGTATAGCTTTTTGTTTAATATATGAAAAGATATAAACTGTAGATTATACTGTTTATTATTGTTTTGTTTAACAAATAGTTTTTTTCTTTTTTTTCTATTATGACGTGTTCATAACATTAATATGAACATGCAGACTTTAATGTGGCGCATATAAGGGCTACTAACTTGTATTAACCCAAAAAAGATAAAGATCAGTAGTAGAGAAATTAAAAGTTGTAATAATTATTAAAAATATAAAAATAAAATAAAGAAATGTGTAGTTGTTGATGATTTTTAGAGGGTGTATTGTGAACGAGACTCTAAATAAATATGTGTTGTAGTTTCTCTAAATGAGCTACTAATTTGGGAAAGAGAGTTCGAGGGTCTGATACAATAAAATAAATAATAACTCCACACATTTACATTGAGACCATATTAATTGAGAATAGACTTGATTTGGACCTAAACTTAGCGACATGTGCAACCTGAGTGATTAGGGCGGATACTCCTAACGTGGCTCCAGGAATTTTAGTGGATATGTAAGTGTATATTCAAGTCAGATAAAAAAACATATTCTTAAATTATTAATCATTAATTGTACCTTTGTTTATGTTAATGCATAAGTCGGGTCATACTAAGTTTATAAATAATATTTATTATGTTCATTATTATATTATAATAATGAACATAAAGTTTTTATTTAATTTATCAAAAATAATCTTCTACTAAACGTAATGAAGTTGAGCATATGCTCTTTATATAATTCAGATAAAGTTAACCAAATAAAGAATCAATTTTTATTATCCAAGTCAGTAATAGTGGTTAGTTCAAAAAATTAAATGAAGAGAGTGGACGAATTGTTAGAGAGCGTAAAACGAGAGAAAGGAAGGCTTTGGAAGTAGCTTAGGCCATTTTCTTGGGCTTTTTATACTAATTTTTTATCTCCCATCTATCAAATTTTTTGTTACTAGCACCGTTTAATTTTCATATGTGTCATTTAGTAAATATATAATAAAATAGAGTGATTAACATATGTAAGACATTGTATATAGATTTTGTTTCAATGAACAAAGTATAAAAATAATATATTGAAACTTTATGGGTAATTATTATCAATTACTAAAACATATGATTATTTGATTGTACATAATTTTTTTTATTTTGTACAATGTTTTTGATGGTGTACATATTATTGCGAATTGAAGTTTTTTTTTGACAAAGTAAATGATTTATTATTGTAAGTCTTATCTTAATTTATTGTTAATTTTATTACAATTTTAAAATTGTTATTATTTATGACTGACTTAGTTCTTTTTTAGTTTAGTCGTTTGTTTTTTTTTTTTTTTTTTTTTTTTTTTTTTTTTTTATTATTTATAAAGTCTACCTGACATCTCGTCATCTTGACTTACAGTTAACACATATAATTTTTTGACATTTGGATACAATAACTTATTATATACATTAAGAAATGATAATATATACACTATTCTAACTATTTACATTTTTTTTTTTAACTAAGAATAAATGAGAGAAAGTAACAATAATAATAATAAATAATAAGATAGCAACTAAGTTAAAAGGTCGTGTGGACGTCCTCGCTTGAGACGTCTTACAGAAGGTGGAGCAGTTAAATGATAATATTTTGCACTGTCAGCCAAGTGCATTTGGTTGAAAAAATTGGTCGCTAGTATCTTAATATAGTCAGAAATATATGGTAGCTGGAAATCTAGGTGTAGTGCTGCATTTCTAACAAACCATGGGGCGTTTGATATTGTCCTAAGGACTTTTGATTGTAGCACTTGAATTTTACGTATATGGGTCTTAGCGCAATTACCCCACACAGGGACTGCATATAGAAGAAGCGGATGTAAAATTTGCTTGTAAAGCATTAGAGAACATCTCCAGCTAAGAGAAGTTTGTCGATTAATCAGAGGATAGAGTATTTTTAGCCTCTGATATCCTTGTTGTAATTTGGATGTGATGTGTGGATTTCAGTAAGTCGTTTGTAATAAGCATCATAAGTATTTAGTTTTATAAATATGAAAGTGGAGGAGTAAATTGTTGATTTTAAAGATCATTTGTATATATTTTAAAAGAATTTATTCTTCACAAAATTATCTAGTTTTAATACTGAAATTAATTAAACTAATTTTATAGCCGTTATATCAATATACAGGACTCTAGTTAATTAAATTTTAACCTACAGGATAGACTGTTAAGATTTTTTCCCGAAAATCTCTTTGTGAATGTTGTCAATGTTTACTTTTAAAAATACTTAAGTATGTTTAACCTTTTTCTTAGAACATATACTTTTGAAGTATTAAATTATTAATAATAGTTTGTGGAATTTACTTGGTCAAAGCGTTGTGGCAGAAAGGGAAGGTATTTATGCAACAAAGTTAAAATTTAACTTTGTTTTTTATCTATATATTAATAACAAAACTTAATTGATACTTTTAAATACTAAATATGAAAATTAGTATTTTATGCTACATTGATGAACATACTGTATGAAAATATAATTTATATCTAACCAAATTAGCTCAATAAATTAATAAAAAATAACACTAAAATACTTCAGAATAAGAAATTATTTTATTCGCTTATTCAGCTATCTTCAGTTGTTTCTATTTAACTTCATAAGTTAATAATTCATATTTTACACTTATAAATTATTTTATTTTTATTATTTTTGTTTACATTTACCCAAATTTGTATTTTTTATACAAAGTGATCAATTAAAAATAAGATACTTATTTTTTTAAANTATTTTTTATACAAAATGATCAATTAAAAATAAGAGACTTATTTTTTTTTGAATTATATTGAGAATTTTAAATTTATGTAAAGAGAAAAAATATTTGGTTCAAAAAATTCTTCAATGTTGTTTAGTTAAATAATTTATGTTTAAAACTCCAGAGATAAAAAAACCTGAAAGTACACATGTATTAACACAAACTATAGCCACCGCGCAACTTACCAATACTATATAATAAAATGTTACAACGAATAAAAGGTTTATCGGAAAAAATTGTAAGAACCAATTAATTATCATATTATCAAATTAAAAGTAGTGGTAATCTCCTAAAATGTATTATTCAAATTTTTACATACAAATGCTGGAAGTTTTTAGCGCATTTAATACAAGAAAAAAACCCAGCACAGGGGGGTCGCGGCACAGTGGTGACGTGGTATAGATGGATCAAGTATAATGATATCTGACAATGATTAAAATCACTATCAAAAATAAACGCTTCGATGCAAATCTTTAGATAGTGTTTAATTTTAAAAAAATGGTGGACTATTCCAAAAGCTACATGATCTGCTAGTTCATTATTAATATCCTAATTAAGATAAAGTATGNATCTGCTAGTTCATTATTAATATCCTAATTAAGATAAAGTATGTAGAATGAAAAAGGGATTATTAAAAAATATTATTTCTCATAAAAAAATAATGTTGATCCATACACTTTTCAATATGTCATAGCATTATAAAGTTAAAAATGTAAAAAATAAAATCGAGAAATTTTACACAATAATAGCATTCGGTAGCCATTTTCACCGTGAAGATAAAATAAAGTCCAAAATTTTTTTTTACATAATAAAGTAAATTACATAGCTTTAATTTAAGATATATATAAAAGTGTCAGACTTTCCGGAACACTTTCAAAATTTAAGTTGAAAAAGTAAATTTTT